TGACTTGTAATTGTAAATGTAATCCATTTGTACAACACAATGAAAGATACTGCTTAATAAAGTAACTCAGTAAACCATTAAGAAGGGAAAACGAATTCTAGCCAAGTCACTTCCAGCTCTTGACTCCACCCTGGTGAAAAATGATCCTGGGCAATTCTTTAGGAAAGGTATTTGTTTCTTTGAAGCGGTGTATTTGAAATAAATGAAAGCTGCCTATGAGTGTTCTGTCTGTGCACTCTGTCTGTTGATGCAGCTGGGAACAATGAGGAATATCTTATTTTTGGAAAGAAGCTGATGTTTAAAAAATGGGCTTGGGCGATCTTAGTGAAAAGTCCCACATTTTAAGAGGAAAAAAGAAACAGATTAGGGTGTGCCCAGAAAAAAAAAGCCCTTTGACCTACTAGATGATGTCATCACTTGCTTTTATTTCCCACAGCGTGTCTGATGTTTGCAGCCTGTTTTTAACCTATAGTGATTTTTTTTCCCTTGCTGTCCTTGAGTAACTCTATGATATTATAACCATGGTATAAGTTTTATTGCATTTAATAGTGCTTATATTAAAATTTTCAACCTGGTGACAGCTAAATCACAGCTTTCAGCACTGCCCATTTTGACCAATATGCAGTCGTCTGCATATTTTTACAGCAGTGCTGAAAAGTATCCTTAAAGGGCTCTTACATACAGATTTTAAAATGGACACTAGAAGCATTGCTGATTCCAGCCTAGCACCGCTAAAGTGTCAAATTTGTAAGGTTGTAGAAAGTTGAATGGGTCATTACACATGACAAAGTATGCTAGGCTTGGCCTGCATTGCACTGGCCTTAACCCAATGCTACTCTTTAAAATACACAGCTTCTCCCAGCAGGAGAGCAAAAAAGGCCTAGGTAACAAGTCCAATGAGTATATGCATGCAAATGTTGCCAGCAGGGATCTTAGAAGGTAAAGGGAAGGAGAAGTATTGTGTACTTTACACCAACTTAATTGACCCCATTACTCCAATTTTCAGTATGAAAGTGAGGATCTGCTCTACTTTTACTTTCCATGGTGTGTGCCTCAATCCCACTGATTTGTGATGATTTTTCTGTCAGGTTTAATAGAATTGACACCTTATAAAGGAGTCTAGGGGAGCAAAACCTTGAAGTACTACTTAACATCGAATTTCAAGCATGTAGTTAGTTCTACTTAACCTGCTCTAACCTACCTCTTGCGTTAACCAGCCCCGTGACTTGACTTGTGCATGGTAGCTACTTAAAGCAACTACATCCTTCTATCCTTTACAGCCAAGGAAGGTGCCATCTTAACTTCTATTTGGATTGCAGTTGTCATGGTGCTGCACATGTGATCAGCTATGGCACCAGCCATTTGAGGGCTTGAAAGTTCAGTTGAGAACTGAAATAACAACCTTGACAGTTGTCATGCCTTAAAAGTAACTGTTTTGGGAGACATTAATATGGTGGGCCAATTCCTTCTTTATGCTGACCATATAAAAGCTAACCATCTGACTCTGAATGAGTATCAAGTAATAGGAAGAATGTCCAATGTAACATTTTTGGAGTCATGTTTAGCCATCTCACTTATACCTTCACAAAGATTATTTTTGGGGACTGATTACCACACATACAGAGCAAAGACTTATGCAGCAACTACCACATACCAGTCTGGTCAACAACCATATCTACAGTAGCAAGCCAGAAACCCAGTATAGCAACATTTGCTGAAGACTTCATTGCCAACAATATAAAAGATAGATCCAGACCACTTCATTTAAATCCAAAATGATCCTGATCCTGCAGAACCTGAGCTATTTATTTAGAATCAAGGTATGTATATAAATAGACCTAAACCACCACCAATGCTTCTTCATTGACCATTGAACTTACAATCTAATCTTTCAAACATAGTAAACAACACACATCAACCAGTTCGAGATGAAGCCAATTAACTGAAAATATGTTTTTGACATACAGCAGGTGCATATGTTGGGGAAAGCCCACCATGTACTGCCACAGGCCAAAGGATAAAGCTGCATATACATTGGATGTTTAAAATGAACCTTTTGACATTAAATGTAAATTTATAGAACTTGAGGAAACATTCCACGCCATCATACAACACATGCGGTATAAGGATATTTATATCAACCTCTAAACAAGGCCTAAAGAGGAATGTCTGAGTGGCACTATCACACTTGTTCATGCTTTTCTAGGCAAACTGTCAGACATCCATTGCACTTTAAATGTGACATCTGACCTATGGAAGTCAAAGGTCACCATGCAGTGCTTGTGCACAAGATGCCTTCAAGACTGAATTCACGTTGGGCACCCTCTCCATAATGAGCACAAGCGTAAAAATAAAATTAGCTTTAAGCAGTGGTAGCAGATCTACACTTGTTAAACTGGGTCTTCCACAATCAAATCATAGATCCATATTTGACATTCTGCCAAAGGAAAAGCACAAGTGTGTACACAACTAATGAACATTAAAGTGCACTATCCTTGTGATAACAAATAACTGTTGCAAACATGCAAGGTCATGTTAAAGCGAATGAAGCGTCTAAGCGTCAAATAAAACCACTGACAATTGATGATCACTGTCACTTGACACTGATCATTTGATGTAGTAGAGCTACTCAACATTACTTGCTTATAATAATCACTTTTCTATCCCACATTGTCAAGGATCTTGGGGTGACATTGTATTTGGAAAAAAAAAATAGTAATAATAAAAATAATATACCCTAGTTCAAGAAATAATTAATTGTTTTTACAATTTTGTTTCATGAACAGATACATTTTCCACCAAAAAGCTACACACCATACTATATACCTCTAAAGTACTTGTGCCATATATCCAAGGTCACATTCATATAAAAATGACTAGGGTGGTAGGGACATTAGATTGTGAGTTTCTTCAAGGGACAGGGCTCATGTAAATTGATTGACGTGCTTTCTAAAGTGTTGGGTCAGTGCTATATAAATACTGTAAATAAATAAATATCTGACAATGTCTTGTCTTTTATTTTCACGGACCTCAGCTACTAAGCAGACAGCCGTTCTTCCTGAGACTAGTGATGTTACTATGGCGTGTCTGGAGCCAATGGAAGCTCCATGCCTCCTGTGCTCATACTATGGAGGTTATCCTGCCTCACCATGCAGTACTGCTCATAATATATGGCATGGATGACAAATTAGCATGATTTGGGCCCACTGTGCTGAAAACCATCATGTCATGGAGGTCTCCTTCCTACAGACATGTGTGGTTTAGCAGTGTGCTAGTGCAGCAATTCATGCCATGTTTCAGCTCCATATTTTATGTCTTTGCGAGAACACCAGGATGTTGTATTATCTGAGAACTGCTTTTAATATCAAAATTACCATAATTGCTCTGCATTCTGATTGGCTATCCAGAGCCTATCATCATGTAAACCATACCCTCTTCCTTCCTGTTGCTTAGGAGCATGAATGATCATTCAGTGTTGCCACCTCAGTGGTGCTGAGATTTCAGTCCCCAGCATCTGCCCAGTGATTCCGCAAAATCAGGAGCCTGGAGAAGGTTTCTTATGTAAGGCACACACCGCTGACATCATTCCTGCTACAGCGTGAGGGAAGCAGCAAACTCATACACACCTAACTATCGACCAACAATCAGGATTCCGGAATAAATCACACACATAGGAAAATCATGCTGAGCAGGAAATGGACAGATCCTGGCACGGCATTTGTCATTTGGTGACAGCGAAGGTTAATGTGAAGCTTAATCAGCAAACAGCAATATAATAGATTAGATTCCTTTTAGCAGAGCCAAATGTCCTTTTCTCATTAGCTCTAATGATTTTCACACTTGCTGGACATGACAGCTGTAAAAGAAGGAGTTAAAACCTGCATGACACCTATAGTCACATATCAAATCATGCATGCAGCTTCTATACAGAGCAACCAATGCCTGTCTGTAGTGAGGGGATGGTCCAGGCTGTGAGTAGTTATCTCAGCAGACAGATGAAAAGATACTGCAGATGGAAACAGTGGCTATGCAAGGGCAGCAACAGTGCACTCCCAGATACAACTCATAGGGAAATCCATGCTAGCGAGTCACTTAAAGGACAAGAGCTTGTATCACAATGCATCCAAGCACTCACACCGTGCTCTTTTATATTGTCACTAGCTAGTAAGCCTTTAACGCCCGGCCATTCCCCTCTTTATCAAGCGAGCCAATAAATAATTAAATTCTATCTTACAAGTACACAGTATAATCACAAGTATAATCAAGAGCATCTATAATAGTACAGCTCATTTATAAACATTCTCTTGCACAGGAATATCTATAGCAGTCATATGCTAACAGGATGCAAACATTTACATTATAATAGTGTAAAATACAAATTGTACCTAAAGCATACACATCTCAATGTACACCAAACCCACTATAGAGGCATATAGCAGTGGTGGTGTATGTGCTGTAGGTCTCCCACCATTACAGCGGAATGAAATGTGATAAGAACTCAGTAAGCTTTATCTCTCATCAGTAAGGATGCACAATGCTGGACTTTTTAGGCCTATGACTGTTTTAATAACACATTGTTCATCTATTGCAGACATAATTTTTTTGACCGGTCTCTTAAATGAGAAATTACATTTATACAGCAAATGAGGAGAAAATGCAAGGCTTTGCTCTAACATTGAGCAGCTGTTGTCTCCCCTAGCTGCTGGAGCAGCAATGCAGATTTCCCTCCCTTCCCTTGTAGCATCTGAGGTGATAATGAAACATTTGGACACTTATTAGCATAAGATAAGCAATGTGATTCATAAAATGAGGAGGTCAGAGGAAGGGTAGGAAATGAGTGCTTTCGAAACAATTGAGACTTTTTTTTACTTTTTGTTTCATTCAGCCTTGAAGGGCCTGGACCAAACAGCTTTGCCTGTCCCCCCCCCCCCAGCACAGAACAGTTCAGACAGATGCTAAAGCCGAACTGCAGAAAATGACATCTAAGATGTGGTACTCACGCACGGTCTCCTGCTTTGGATCCAAGCTGCTGACGAGCTGCTGGACAGTACCGATTTTCCCTTGCAGCGCCCTTACACGCCTCGCAGTCACCTGAACCTCGGCTTCGAGCTCGTGGAATATGGAGCAGGCATGCCTTGCCATATCCGAAAGCTGCCGTAAGGTCCGTGACATCGCAACGTTGCTGATGGCGTACAAATCCAAAGTTGTCACATCTTTCTCCTTCTTGTCAACGGCCAGCGGTTCCCTCTCGTCCGAGGCCACCTGCGCCGAAGGTGCCACATTAGCTGACAATTCTTCCCTCGAATTCCCTCGGTGCCGTTGCTCGTCTCCCTGATCCTTGGAACAGCTCGCCTCTACCTGGGTGACAGCATGCCTACACAGCCACTGGGGCTCAACAATCCGCTTGGCAAAGGGCATTGCAGATCGCCCTTCACGTTATCCTGCAATAATGCCTTGGCTAGCCAATCCTAAGGAAACAACATAAAATACCACAGATAAGGATCAAGAATTCTCGAAAATGAAAGAGACAGATGCTGAAGCAATCCACCAATGCAATGTGCCACTCCAGCACAGATCCAGTTCTTTTTTCCTTTTAAATACGGATGGTCCTTTTAAATCCTGGGCAGTTCCTCATCGTGGTTAGCTGTTTTTTATCCTATCCATGTTTTCCCCTCCATGCGTGCAGCGGTGACTTTGGAAGTATCGCAGTTGTGCACTGCTTTCCTAGGTCCTCTCTTAGCTCTGATCATCCAGTTGCTTTTTGGATAGCTTTTCTCTGCCTCTCTCTCTGCTTTCACCATGCTACAGCCAGGCAGACTGAAAACCTGGAGGCAGGAGTTCACAGAGATGTTTGAATGGGGAGGTGAAATCAGAAAGGGACAGGGAGGGTGGAGGAGGTACTGGCAAGCCAAGGGGGAGGAAACAGGACATTTTTACACAAGACACTGCCTTCCTCAGTCAGTGAAGGGCTGGCTTCCTTGGAGAGACAGTCTTCAGCAAATCGCTTGGCTTGGCAACTTCCAGCGCTGCTTTACGAAACCCCAGGCCACGGATTCTGGTTCTGGTTTTGCGGTTTAGATTCCATTTCGAAAAAAAATCAAGGTTTACAGAATACAGACAGGAGTGCAGGAGCCTGAATGGCATGGTACATTTAAAACCAGTCAATCTGTTGTGCTTCTGAAAAAAAAAATGTGCACTCTTTAACTTCTAACTTGCTGAAATACGATGAAACACAAAGGATCTCCCTACCCGCTTCTAGGCAACTCAATAATAAAAAAAATATTGCCAGATACATAGAAGTGTTTTATTTATTGCATATAATTTGCTATGTCTTTAGGGATCATTCTACATTATATAGATCTGAAAAAAATAACTAATGTTTTGTCATATTGGCAAAATCTTACATTTTCAAATGTTTATTAAAAGTGAAAGGTTTTTATCTGATGTTTTGTCTGCTTTTCAACATAGTAGTGTTTTTACTGTGATACCCATTTTATAATGGATTTGGTAAATTCTTTTCACCTTTCTTAAAGGATATATGGTTGGGAATGTTGTCAGCACTGCTTTTTAATTAAAGTGACACTAAACTCATTAGTTAAATCTTAAAAATACATTCAAGTGCCTTAACTATTAATAAAAATGTATATTATTTGTGTATCACTCAGCTGTAGATCCTCCAATCATCTCTGAACTGGTGTTGACATTGTCTTTCTATCTGGAGGTGGCTACTTTTGCTCCCCAAGGTCCCTGTGTTGTAAAGTAGCCACCGCTCCAATCTCACTCCTGTGATGGACTACAATTTCAGTACAAATTAGTAAACAAAACATAAGTTTTTAGTCCATCACAACAGTGAGCTTGGAGCGGTGGCTACTTTACAACACAGGGACCTTGGGGAGCAAAAGTAGCCACCTCCAGATAGAAAGACGATGTCAACACCAGTTCAGAGATGATTGGAGGATCTACAGCTGAGTGAAACACAAATAAGATACATTTTTGGTAGTAGTTAAAAGAGAACTATGGGTTAAACTTTTTATCCCATAGTTCTCTTTTGGGTCACAGCAGGACATATACTAACCTCCTCCTGTGATCCAAAGCTCACTATGTAGCGGGCTATTGCACGCTATATACTGAGAGCACTGCAGCTGGGATGGATCCCGACAATAATGCCGAGATCCACCCAGCTGGCTGATTGATAGCGGGCTCTGCCTAACTAGAGGCAGAGCCAGCTGTGCCCGACCCTTCTTCTAGTCAGCCCTGGACAATCGGAGAGGGGAGGTGGAATCCTTGTGGGGAGCAGTGACTGACAGTCACCACTCTCTGCAGGGAGGTGATCGGGAAGTAAGCGAGCGATGGTATGTGTTCGCTCACCTCCCGATCAATAGAGCCGTCGTGTGACAGTTTCATTGTCACACGTAGGTTCTATGAGGATGAGTGAATGCATTTTAAGGTTTAACTCCTGAGTTTAGTGTCAATTTAATAGTGCAGTGCTTCTGGTTAGATTTGAACTTTTTGGCTCCTAATCTTTCTTTCAACATTATAAAGAAAAGGCATTAGATTGTAAGCTCCTATGAGCAGGGCCCTTCTAACCCTCTTGTCTTGAATTGTGCTGTCACTGTATTGACTTTCTTTATAGTGTAAAGTACTATGCAAAGTGCTGGCAATATATAAATCCTGTAGTAATAATAATAATATTAATAATAACAATCATTATCATCATCATAATACCAGCTCAGCAGAACAGGCGTAAAGACTTGTACCCCCTGTGGCTGATAGCTTGAAAGCAGCAGCATCTGCCCTATGCTGATACCAGCCCATGTGCTTGTTGCTGAAGAGGTATTTTGAGAGGGGTCCATCATTTTTTTTTTCAAAGTGCTTATACATA